AGAACGAATATACAGGGTGATCGATAAAACTGAGACGGTAGATTGAAAAAGTGAAAAAACCATACAGTGTCATATCATCCTGTATAGCGTCGTGCGTGTGAAGAAATTTAAATAACCGGTATTTAATGATGAAATGTTTGGGATTAAAACAATTCAAAGATCTTGGCAATCCATAATATATAAATAAAACACTTAGAGCTTTGGTGATAGGGTGGCTTACTTCAAATTCGGGACAGTATAATATATTGTCGTGAGTTACATATATTTTAATATGTCAAGGGATACAATATTATGTTACAATATTTGTCTATATCCACGAGCCTATTTAATATAATATGGAAAACAACATTATATATGTATGACTATGACTATAGTTCTCAATTTATTTCAAAATTGCAACGGCAAAGAAATATTCAAATATCCCTGGAGCTATGTATCTGAATAAGGTTGACTTTGTATCATCTTCACTTTAAATATTCATAGTAAATATTATCCGACAAATACGAAATAAGACGCGCAATTTACCGAGAACACATATACTTGTATAAATATTACAATCAGGATTTATGTTGATTCCATCAAGGCAGTAAAAAAATGTAAGTAGAGCGATAATGGGTCCTACACCTTAGTCAAACCAAAGAATACTAATAGGTTTATATAATAGTTAAAAACACCTTCAGTAGTGTACTGTGTCAAAATTCCGAAATAAATTATTTGTTTCTTCACAGTAGGCATAAATCTATAATTTAAGAGATTTCGAATTTCCCTTTCATTGTGACGTACAAAACGGACTCTTTTCTTATTAGTTGATTGTCGCAACATCAAATGTTTGTCTCTATAAGAATCAGCATCGAGGATCCGATCGCCCGTCAAATGACGCCACGCCACAAAATAACCTAGAACCGTAGTGTTTTGTGTTTGGTTTTAACAGTTTTTCTCTAAAGAAATATTTTAGTTAGTTTTAGTTCGTTAATATAGGTGTTTGCATAGAGTGTAGCTGTAGCAATTTGTGATTGATTTATAACATACCTAATTAGAACTGTACAAAAGGTGACAGTGACAATCTTCTTACAGTCTACACAGATATGGTAAATTTTATGTTTCAAGTGCTGATTTCTTCAGTGCGGAATAAGCGCAATATTAAAACTAAAAGGTAAGTCATCACATCAGATAATATTATTTTATATTACATACTAAGAAAATAAAAATATGAAGCTGCAGACATATTGGAACCAAATTTTTCGGACAGTAACAAACAAAACACATAAAGCAATAAAACTAATAAATAATGCTCCATTTGAACTTGTAGAATCCAAACACAAACATAACCAACTTGACGCTGTTAGATGTCAAGCTACTAATAAAGATTAATATTGCCAGATTTAAATAGTCGTTAATGATATTCCATTTAATTTTCATACAGAATTAAATATTGCTGACTATTTACAAGAAAATTATTTCAAAATGCGGTAAGAAATATACAAAAGGTATAGGCTCTCTTCGACCAATTGCAATCAAAAAATGTTTTAAAGCAATAAGAGTTAGTAAGCTTGACAACCCTGCCGATGCAGGGTGGTGCATCGTGACTTAAACTATTACTCTTACCTAGGCAGTGTCAGATTCATATCGTCCAAGACGTAACCGTAATTGAAAGTACTGACTCTAAGTGTTAGGTTGAAGCCGGTGGGGAGACTGTTGGTCATTACAAATGTTAGGTCTAGAGTAGCATATAGCAAAAGAAACTACAAAAGAACAGGTCGGATTCCATCTTAATATCCAATCAAGATTAAATGAAGATCATCCGTTCTAACCCTACCACTAGAACCTTTGAGGCTACTAATCAATTAAATTAATGCAAATATTTTTTGAATTTTATTGGATTCCGATATGTATTTCTGCGAAATAATATTTCCTCAAAGGAATGCCTCAACCAGCTCAGCTACAATGTTCCGAATGCCGACCCAGATTAATAAAGAAATAAATTTTATTATACGGATTTTGCTTTCATACTGCGCGGGATAAACAAAAATTCTTAGGGGATTTATTAAATTACTTTTCCATCTGGATAAGAATTCGGAACCAATTTGTCATGGCGAGATGCTGGAGCTCGAGTGGCGGCTAATTCAGTTCCTCCTTTAAAAATATGTCTCAACTATGAACACAACATGCTTCATTGATCTTTCGAATGGGAGCTCAAAGTTAATTACATGGAAATTTCAGAGTTTATTAGATGCAAGTATGTGAGCGAGAATTTCCAATTCAAACGATGTAATGCGCGTTGGCAGAGCGAACGCATTCCTTGATCGTTCCCCTTATTTCCCAGTTTCAATATCAGAACTCGAGCAAAATTCATTATTAGGAAACAAGTTATTCAATATTCCGCTCTCCTTTGATGTTTAATGTCGGCTAACGCAGCTTTTAGCTCCAATTTTCAATGTTTCAAGAATGTCGCAACGTCTACTCATAAAAGAATTATTTTTAATGTTACGTTTTACCGTCTCCTTCGTCTGGGGAGATATCACTTGCTTTGGCATACCTTGGAACAAGTGTTCAAATTATATATTCTCGTCTCCTGGAGGATTCGTTGGGAAAAATATTTTTAATATTTCAGGACATTTACTTTCAGCCGCCCTGTTGTAAACGGTCTAGCAGAAAAACTTCAACGATTTATCTTGAACTGGAAGAGACTTGTAGACTACTTCCACCCAATAGCCCATCATACAGTTCTTAACACGCACCTCTTCAGGCGACGATTATCACTGCGTCTGCATCTTCGTTTGGATTTTCGCTGAAGGGTTCGGTTCATACATCATCATCCAGCGCACGTAGAACCGAAACCACATATTTTAAAGAACTAAAACAATTATTTCGTTGAAAGGGCTTCCTAATTGCTTGACTTTGTATCCCGGACTCGGCGATTAACAATAAAGTCACAGTTCCGGATCTGTAATGTGCTCCAACCAACATGTACATAACTTTCTTTATCATCCAATACATTTACCACGGCTCGATAATATATCCTGATGCCGACGACATCAAGATAATAACGGCGCAACAGATAAGCGTAATACATAAGGAGGAGCACGAGGAAGCGAAAAGTAAATAAAGACTTTGACGTTATGTGATTACCTGCATGTATTGGGAGAGCTGACAAAAATAGAAATGCATTTATGTGATTGAATATCGATTCGTTTGCGTAAACATGAGCAACTCCATGTGCTACCCGAGAACTCAGAAACCAGAAAAGAGATTTTCCGGACGGGGTGGTAATACTTTCCGTTCTCGGTGGGTGGAAACTCGTTTATTAACTTTTATTTGATAACTTGCTCAAATGGAATTGTTAATTAGCTGCCGAACGATTAATTTCAGGTGTTTAATCAGGGTAAGTGGTTTAGATTCATGACCGACATATCTGCAATGAAAAACAAGTAATTTCTTGATTAAGAGACGAAAGATCACACGCTAATGTCACCTACAAAAGAAAGGATAATGTTATTTCCCACAGTCGTATCTACGTTTGTAAAGGTGATAGACAATGATCTTTTAAGGATGCTAAGAAATATTCCTTTAATGTACAACCTTCGAGCATTTATATCTAACGATAGAGGCGGTATGACCCATCTAAACACTGGATTTGTTTACATAGCACAGAGGGCGCCACTGGAGGTGTACATACTTTTTATTAGGAGGCATGGGCGTACTTTTTAGGAGGGTTATGTAAAAATGGAAATACTGTAATGTGTTTTCTTACAATCACTGAATTTCTAGGTCAAAAGTAGTTACGTTTACGTCAATTCAAAATATGTGAGCTTAAAATGTCATAAAGTTCAATCTAAGTACTTACATAATATGTGGATAAAGAAAAAATATTCAAAGAAATTACTATAAAGTATAGAATATAAAAGGATATAGGTATTGTACAATCTCTAGAATATCTCCTATATGTTCTAGGTGTTTGTGTTTTCGCATTTTTTCAGCTTCTTCTTGCCCTTTTTCACCCTGTACCTATGGAGTATATTGGTGGGCCGATTCGGTTTATTTTATAATGTAAAGATGGGCCGATTCACAGCCGATTCACAAAGCCTATTAGACTGCCTCTTCCAAAAGCTTGGCTTACCAAGATTTTTTTTTAAATTAATCACAAAATTAGGAAATCATATAAATGATTTTTTTATTTCAATTGTGAAGAGACAACGATTTTAAGGACCTACTTAAATACCCATATGCCGAAATTTACAAGTATTGCCTCGTTTTGCTTAAATTTAAAACCACTATTATAAAAAGTGTATCGGTACCGAGCTTTACATAATACAAAAAATTGTCCAAATCGGCCAAAAAAATATTTTTATCGGCCACACTGCATGTTAATACTGATAATGAATATTGAATTTCGTAATTTAGACAGTTTATAAAATGGTAGGTACCTGCCGTTTTGGTGGATTTACATTTATGCCTTGTTGGAGCATTTCTCGTGCGGTTAAAAAAGTAGCAGATGTACTTGCCTCTGGTTTTGAATCACTTTCATTATCAGAAGATATGTCGATGAAGAATATGGTGAAACTGTTATTCTAAGAACAAAAGTACTCATGAAGAGTTCTTAATTAAATAATCTTAAACTTAGTTTCCTTCTTGGAACGTAATTTTCTTTCTCACTTTCTGACTCCGAGGAAGTAATAGTCGTTTAATTACTTACATGTCCAACTTTACCCTTCGGTTTGTAAGGTTTTTAAAAAAGGACACAATTTTACAGTAAATATAAATTTTTGTATTGGAATTTCATTATTTAGATTCAATTCAATTCTACTATTCGGGGTACCGTTCTTTAAATTATTTACTACCACTCGGTTATACCTGACAACACAGCCGTCCTCGGCTGCCAGCCATAATCCGACACCTTGTAAACATAATTCATAAACATAATTCATAAACATAAGGTAAACTGTGCTGTTAAACCGATTCACCATCCCACTTCTGAGGCTGTAGGAAAATTAAAAATGCTTTAACGCAGCCGAGACTTGGAACCTTTGGCTCTCCGGGCCAATGCTCTTTCAACTGAGCCACCGCGCGTCCACACCTCAATTCTCCTATTTGGGGTACCGTTCTTTACATCATTTACTAATTCTTAATAGAATAGTCGTCAGCATCACTGTGAACCAGTTTAACCGAAGTTAGTTGATGTGTTCAATTGATTAAGGTGAATTTGGGATAAAGGTCACTTAAAATGGGTATATACATCATTAGCCTCGATTATTGTTTAGCTGCTGCCTGCATATTGCCATTTGAAACGCCATTTATCACGATAGAAAACTCCCACCTATGAAATACGAAACCGTTCAGTAACAAAATGACCGCAGCTCCGGTAGTGCATTTAATGATTAAAACGGCGTAATCGCGTGGCACTATTTATACGGCTAAAATGTGTGCCGGCCGAAAGACAATATGTGGCGGCCACGTGACCTGGCCGCATACATTGTGTATGGTTGCCATGCAATCAAACTGAGTGGCGGTCAAGCTGGGGTCGCAGGACAATGCGGACCTCCACATGGATGAATTTTCGTTATATGGCCCTCATTGTTTCGACCGTGCTGATCGCACACGTCTTCAACTTCTCCATCCGTCTAATGGTCGAGTTTACCTTTTAGTTAATTAATTTTCCTGGTTAGTCCGGGTTGATTGATTTTTGGGTGCGTTCGAACTAGAGCGGACGCTCCGAAGAAGAGTTGAAACTTTAGTCGAGTCGAATTGTACAAACACGGCGAAAAGATCCCCAGTAATCCATATTGTCAGAAGTTTTAATTGTAGCCGCCGGCGCTGCTGAAGACTGACGAGAAATGCTTTTCTCGGAGGCAGTTGTCCCACTAGAACACGGTCTCGTAAATATTTTGACTAATTCTTTAAAAGCAAAGAAGTATCAAGTCCAATTCCAAATTACGTCAAGCGCCGATTATACACATCTCAACTCCGACCACATTTCAATGCTTCAATTACAAACTCTACATACAACCAAACGATACAAGTAATACCAGAACGCAACTACACCCCAACAAGGCGCGATCTTCTTATTTACGCATCGTCCGCTCTCCATAAAATGCCCTTTATTATTATGGTACTGTGTATTTAACGGAGCGCCGTTCGAATGGCATCACAAGTATCCACTTAACGCACGAAAACACAGTTTCATGTCGGAGCAAATGTTTAGCAATTACATTTTTAGCGCCCGACGACAAAACGATTTGTAGACGTTGATCCCCGGCCCGATACGAACGAGCACGACCGTTAAATTACAGTGGCACGCGATGCATTTGTATACTATTTATTAGATATGAATTTTGTTAATAACGGAATTAGACAACAGCTGTTGGGTTCTCCAACGGATCGTGTTGCAGCGCCTACAACACAGATTACCAGACCAGCCGTGACACTTGTACCTATTATAACATCATCGTTCAGTTCATCAAAATAATTATTGATATAGCGGGCCAGTTGTGTAGCCCCAGTAGCATTGTCGCTCGTAGGTTGATTTAATAATACAACAGGGACTCGTTCAGGAAAGGCGCCCATACTAACCTGGGCATCAGTCTGTCTTTATTTCACAGAAAATAATAAGGATATACCTATTGTCGCTTCAATTACTATAAGCATAAGCGCTTCTTGAACTGGCCCCAGGTGACACAGCTTTATAGTTCAAAGTATATTTCCTTTTTTACAATGTCGTTGTTCAAGGGGAAAGCCGACTCGAGGCCGAGGGAACTCAACAGTGAGAACATTTTTAAGGATAACTTGTGAGTTTATTTCATTTTTTACCATTACATTGAATAATTCTGGCAAAGCCTAATTCCATTTGAAATAAAAATTAAAGAGGGAAAAAAAAAAAACCCACCCCCCCCCCAAAAAAAAAAAAAAAAAAAAAAAAAAAAAAAAAAAAAAAAGAGAAAAATATATATGGGGGGGGAAAAAAAAAAGGGTTGAAAAAAAAAATATAAAAAATATGTCGCAAAAAAAGGGGAGGGGAAAGGGGGGGGTTTTTTTTTTTTGCCCCCCTTGGGGGTGGGTAAAAGGGGAATAGGGGTCTGGGGGGGGGGGGGGTTTTAAAAAAAAAAAAAAAAAATTAAGGGTGTTAACTAAGGGTCGGATAAAGGGAATCCCAATCAATACTTGCCTTTTTAAAAATCCCAAGGTCGCTTTTTATAGAAAAAATATAACTACGAAAACAGTATATTGTATTTTATTTAAAAAGGTTTATTTGGTGATTATATATAAAAAAAACTCGCATTGTCGTGTACAATTTGCGTTGTATCATTTTACAAAAATAAACGTCCCTCAATTTTATTGTTTGGTTACCATCAAATTTTATATGTCTTCGCACTACGCATATGAACATCTTTGTATTATTCTTTTGATCCCCATCTTCTGTTGAATCTATAGAAATGTTTATAATTGGTCCGACTTTTTTCATTGGGCACAATAGAAACGTGTAGGTTTCAGAAAACCTAGTACAATTTTCTCTCTTAATATGACCATATATAGGCGTATTAAAATATTACCTATACATACTCGTATATTCCTAAAGTTTCAGTTATTAGCATTATTACTCGAGTATCTTAAATGCTACCAAATAACCGCAACCGAAAACGGAGGTTGGTCACGAACACGTAATATATTGATATGCATTTTCACTTTTATTTGTTGCAGTCGATATCGGTCTAGTTGCTATGGTAATAAATCCGTAAATAAATTCCACAAGGCAAACCATTCTTAGAGGAAATTGTAAAAGGGGGAAAGCTTTACTGGGAAACTCCACGACACGGCACAATCAAACGAGTTGAATACTTCACAGATGGCCAATTATTAAATTTTTTCTCGCTTGGTATTAAAATACCCCCGGCAAATAAGACAACAAATTATTATCTCTTTTCTTGAACAAATTGTAGCTTGATTTTTTAAGAACACGCTAGACCTATTGCCGATTTCAAACAATTGGTCGAAATGTTATATACAGAGCTGAAAAGAATTGATGATGAAGAGATTGATATTTTTTGAGCATTTTCATTTTTTTTACTTACTCTGACATCACTGTTATTAAGGGTGTACAGGTTTTGTGTAATTAGGTGCATTGACACATTTTTTATGGGTTGTAGGGATAAGGATTTCCGTTAATTTTTTATTGTTACAGAGACCATTAAAACTAAATTGTTTTATTATGGTACGAATGCTGTTGAAGAATATCTTGAATGTATCCATTTGCATTCAAAGCGCCATTTACAATAACCAACTCGGTTCGGCCTCCTAAACATATCCCACCCTAGACCATTAGTGAACCTCCATAATATATAATCTTTCCGTACCATCGATGGAGTTAACGCAAAAGCGCTCTTGTCTGTAAAAAGAACGTTGGCCCATTGGTCATTTTCCCAATTTTCATTCTTGGTAGTCTCGCCAGTTTCTGAAGTTTGGAAATTTTTCGTTAATACCTAGGCCTTCAAACCAACTTCTTTGAGTCTTCTGCTAATGGTCCAATTACTTGTTCTTATTCCACGTTCTTCTTCTATGTCGTTTCTTAATTGTGGTACTGTTTTACTCCTGTTTACTAATGTTTGTAAGACTACAAATCTGTTATCTTCAGCCGTGGTTGTCCACTTTTACCTTGACCTTAGCTTTCCTCAATTTAATTGGCATTATCTAATGATATCAAATTTCATTCGTTCACTCTACAGAGTGTCTCAAAAATTAACAAAAAAAAAACATTACTTTTTTTCAGCTCTGTATATAACATTTCGACCATTTTTTTTAAATCGGCAATAGGTTTTAAGGCGTGTTCTTTAAAAAATCAAGCTACAATTAAAAAAAAAACAATTATCAAAATCGGGTTAAGGGTTCAAGAGAAAATTGAAGTCAAACTTAGTATAGCATAAATTTTGCCCGTTCCTTTAATTTTGCTGGTGTGTGTAGATTGACGCCTACTGACTGACGGAAATGTCTCTTTTTATTGAATCATTTCATACTCAAAACACAGGTTTCGGATAAATAGATAAACATAATAAAATACGTCAGAAAATGAGAAGTTGTTGAGAAAAAAATGCACGAAAAAAAGTATGGCGGTGTTAAATTATAAAATTTAACATATCTATCTAAGCAAACTTTTTTGGTATTGTATACTAGATCTCCAGGGTCTCTCTAGATTTTTTATATTCATTTGAAAATTAATGGATGAAAATCTTACAAAGGAAGGTAACTTTTTATAATCCTTGTTCCAAAAGTAATTATAAAATTCATATTTCCTTTCCCGTTGATTTTTTAAAAAAGCAAAAAACAGGTCGATTAGTAAATCCATTTTTTACTTTTTGTGATATTGATATTTTTCTATTTTTTTTTTTTTTACAAATTTATGACGTCATTATTTTTTTTTTTTTAATGGAAAAGGTGTATATTTATTTGACTATCAAATACTATTTTAACTGATATGAGGGGATACCCACTTATTTAACGTTATGGGAAATTGAGAAAAAATGGTAATCAAGTTCTATTCTTGAGAAAAAAGGTAATGTTTGAGCATTAGTTGTAAATAGATAATTTTTATTACTACTTATAATAGGTAAACTAATAAAAACTATCTCATTTACTAGCTAATGCTCAAACATTCCTTTGCTTCAGAATTAGCAGCTTGCTTACCATTTTTTTCTCAATTTCTCATGAACCATTAAAGATAAGTGGGTAATCCCTTATATCGTTAAAATTGTATTTGAAACAGCTATTATTTGATGTCAATAAATATACACCTTGCCATTAAAAAAGAACATCGATAACGTCACAATTTTGTCAAAAAAAAGTGAAAAAAACTATCACTATCACAAAAAGTACACAAATTGAATTTACTAATCGACCTGTTTTTGCGTTTCTTTGAAAACTTAACAGGAAAGGAAATATGAATTTTATGCGTTATTTTTGGGAAACACTTTGTATTTGTTTACACCCATCTGTTGAAGAAATGTACTGACTTCGTGCTCTGCAATTATAATTTTGAATTTAGCCGTTAAAACAATGTATCGTGCATCACGTAAACACCGTAC